CCCCAAAACCCCAAAACCCCAAAACCCCATGATTTAGTAAAGAATTGAATCTACTCAATAAAATAATCCTGAGTCAGCAGCTCTTTGATCTTTGAGTTGATGCCAAAGACATTTTGGTAGTCTTCATCCTTGTTTTCTAGGATACAGTCAAGAGCCTCTCTTATCTGGGGTTGTAGATGATTGAATATTGCATAAAGTTCAGTGTAGTCAGCATCAACATCATTGGCTTCATTGATTCTTCATTTCTCTAAAGTATTCTCGAGATCAATAAAGTTTTCATCGAGTTTATGTTCCACCTTGTTGACTATCTTATTAATGTCTGATTTAGCACGCCTTTTTAATACTTCTATTTCATCATAGAGCTCACTGAATCAGCCTCTTAGCAATCTAATTTGATTCTCACAGATCTTTATTTTAGTTTTGTCAGCTCTCTCTGTTTTCCTAATTTGGTCGACAATATCATAGAATTCTTGCTTCTTCTCTTTCTTTTTAGTGTTACTCCATTGCGCAATATCCCTAGAATGGTGATGCAATATTATTTACCATAGAGTTTCAATGAGATCATCATTGAGATATTCTGATTTCTCATCTCTTTTAAGATGAGTTGGATCAATTTTAAAAGTGAGATTAGACTCTACATAATCATCCCACTGCTGGAATGGACTTGCTCCTGACTCTCTGCAATCTCTGTCTCTGATTCCGACTCCTGTGGTGATCAGGTCGTTAATTCAGTCCCTCAAGCCTTCTGAGAATTTGAGAACTTTGACTTTCTCGAAAGGCTTCTTGTCAATGATGTTGCTCTTGTACATTTCGAGGGATCTTTTGAGGATGTTGGATAACTTCTGCTCTATGTTAAACAACATATTCCTATCAATTTTAATGTCGATTTCTTTTTCTTCCTCTTCGATACTTGAATAAGGATCTTCCACATAATCCAAAGGATATAGAGGATTATGAGTAAAGTGTGATAGAGTGTAGTTTCTTCTTTCTTCTTTAAGAATGTTTTCAAGCCTCTTTTTGCATGATTTAACATTCTTTGAATACTTTATATCACTTGACTGTGCATCAGAATTTTCAGGATTCTGTGCATTAACAAGCTCTTGCTGTTTGAGATAATTCTCTGTATCATTCATGCACTGTAATGCTTCTAGCATACATTTTCTTTGTCTTTTATTAGTCTCAAGCAAGGCATTGTTCTTAGTGATTATGGAATCTAACTGACTTTTGAGTATAATATACCTCCTTTGGTCTACTTCTGCCTTTTTATTTTTGCTAACAGTTTCCTGTCGGAGATTACTTATCACAGATTGGAGGTCACAATTCTTGTAAACTACGACTGCATCTTGATTGATCTGGCTAGCTCCTGGCCTTCTTTCTAAAGGTTAAAAGTTCCATTACTCATTCTTTGAGGCTTTGGCTTTTGAGGAGGGTTTTTCTTTACTTGTTGCACAGAATCATTAGCATAATCCTGAATTAATTCTTCATGATCAGGTACATCTCTTGGTTCATGATCTATTTTAGCAGGAGACTTCATCATCTTCGGAGGAGATGCTCTCTCTAGTGGAGGAGGACTTACTCTTTCAGTTGCTGATCTATCTGGCTTAGATGGTGAATAAACCTCCTCAGGAGGATTTTCAGGAGCCTCTGGTAAATCTTGGGGCTCACTAACATCCAAATCAGGGATTGGCTCTTTTAGCTTTCTCTTTATTTCGGACAAATCATTCTGTGTGAGATATGAATGGTCTTCTGTAATATTCCTCCTGGGAGGATTTTTAGTTCTAGGATTTTTTTCTTCCTCATTTCCTTTGTTATGGCCAGCTTTTTTATTTGATTGCTAGGATGATAACGAATTTAGAATTACCTTCGCAAATTTCTCAGCGGTTTGGTCTGCAATGCTCATAATATCCTCAAGATCTTGGTTCTTCTGCTTCATATTGCCATGACTGAAGTTTAGGCCTGTTCTTCTCTGATATGGTTCTTGCTTGCGAGGACTTTTATCCACATTCCTCTTGAGATTCCTTTTCACACCAGATGGAGGCCGATACGAAGGTTCTTTCCGTTTCAAAAAAGAGTGCTTTCCAGGCTTTTCCTGGCCAACAGGAGGAGGTTTTGACCACTGCCTCCCTCTTTTCTGTGGTTTCTCATCTTTATTCTTTTGTTTTTGTTTGTAAGTTGACTTTTTGAGTCGTTCTTGATCCTTCCTTAATTTTTCCTTGGCGTAGTGGTAATTCTCTTTGGATATTACAGAAGTGTCATCTGGAGGGTTATCCCAGGGATTCTTCTTTTTCTTATTAGTTGGAGGCTTCGTTGTTCTCATCTGAGCTTTGTTTGATCTAGAATGTTAGTTCAAAAAATACAATTCTGCTTTAGACTCTTCTACTTCGGTCATCGGATTATTCCTGACTTCAGCCGGGACTTCAAAATGAGGCTGTTCATCCTGGTTTGGGAATTCTTGGGTTGGTCGAACTGGAGAGTGATGTCCCTTTCTCTGGTCTGAAAGATCTATCATAGTAACTGTAGCTTACCAGGTCGAGCATTTTTAAGAGCTTCAGAGGTATAAGGTCTATCATAAGTATTCTCAGAAGGCTGTTCATTATTCTGATTATATTCAGAATTATGCTTATGCATTAACTCATCCAAGGCAGTCTTCTTGAATGACTCCAGAACATCCAAAGGATTAGAGAATGCTGAACTATCCTCTCCAGGAGAGGTAAAACTTTGTCCTTGATATTGAGGTGAATGAACTATATTAGAACCTGCTGTAGAAGATATTCTAGCATTCCTTTGGCTTGTATCTAAATCACTAGGTTAAATCAAGCAGATATTGTAGAGAAATTGCGCAGGACATATTTAAATCTGTATTAGGAAGATTCTATACGTACCTTGGTATGTCTCTCCTCCACCAAAGATGCTTGACATTCCTGAACTCTGATTCTTCCGATTTCAGCTCGATTTCCGAGTGATGTTTGTTTGTGGAGTTTCGTAAATCGAGTATGCTCGTCTTGGTTGCATTTTTACTTAATTATTTTAAAAATTTGGGGTTTTGGGGTTTTGGGGTTTTGGGGTTTTGGGG